CAATGTTTATATCCAGGATCAGAATATCTGCCCATATTACAGCCGCTATGGCATTTGCAAGTTTGGTCCTGCTTGAAAATATGACAATCCTGTGCACTTGGCTTCGTCAACCATGTCTGGACTAAATCAGCTATCATCAGTTGGCGTCTCTGCCACAACTGATGGGTGTATGATCGATGAAACAAGAAGGAAGTAAAACTCTCGGTGGCCAAGAAAGGGCCATTTCTAGTCCCGCGCTTTTACACACAACAATTTTATCATGTCTCTTGTCAACAATTCAATGCAAGTGCTTTATCTTAGCTGTCCATTTAATTTATGTTGGCAATTGTTCAATCAAAACTTTGTCAGTATCAACCTGGAGCATGAAAAGATTGCTGTGTTTAAGGCCACTAGATTGTAGCAACGGTTGGATGATGAGGAAAACTTCTATGGTACATCTGTTGTAATGTACAATATTACGGTGCATCATACTAATTAAATATAACAACATCATAACCTAGGGTAAAATTGTTCTATGACATTACGATATATTATCGTAATCAAGTGCAAAAATAGTGTAACAGAAGTGTGCATCTAAAGATTTTCGGCAGATGAATGGAGCAACCCTCGATTTACCCCTGTATCATGTTTGATTGCATAGGTTACGTTTGTTGACCTAGATATTACGTGAATAGCATATATCATATCATATTCAGTGGATTGTATATTCACATCATATTCGACCTCTTGATGACCAATTTTGGATCACATAAACTTGGATGAGTTCGAATAAAAGCAAGGATACAATATCAAAGAAACTGCAAAGGTAGCATAAAGTAATTAATGGACTGACAAACTGGCACTTACTCAAAATAGTTCGTAGCATGCAATTAACATAATATTACCTGAAAATTTATAGAGTTTCATCCATAAGAAGTATGTGCCATCTAAATTTAACGGCTCATGAATTTCATAAATTTTGTTCAAAGCCACACGTCAGGATATGAAGCTTCTTAGTGACTTTACTTGGTCTTTTTTACATCAATGTTTTATTTTATCTAAACCTTTTTTGAGTGTTTTAAATCTATTTTTCATTCTTTGAGTATGTTTGGGCTAGTGTGGGCTTTCCAGGTCTTTTAGGCCCCAACCGAACATGGCTCAAGCCCCGCACGAACAACCGAAGAGCAAATAGAGGGAGGGAAACTAAGAGACCGAGAGGCGAGAGTTATGTCACGACATTCATTTATTAGTTGGAGCTTTTCAACCAAAACTTCTAGTATCTATCTGTATCACCCATATACATGCCCAAAGAGCTGGGAGAAATGTCAAAACTAATGGATATTGAAACACGTTCCATCGACTGAAAAACCACATTTCCCGAGGAGATAAAAAAGCGCAGTTATCTTGTTGGAAACAAAGCTCCCTGAAATTGGTTTTTAGAACTACCAACAACCAAGATTGGGTCCAAAAGAAATAGGCTCTCCCTCTGCTGAAGAAGAAATTCAAATGTGAAATGAGCTAGAAAATAACATTCGTTAGCCTTTACTCTGGAGAGATACTGTTATCTCCGATGTTATAAAAAAACAAGAACCAGCAAAATTTGTAATGCAAAACAGAAGTTAGTAACAAAGGCGCTCATTTCAGTCCTAATGAGTGCACATCTTGTGCAGCTGTGCTGATGCCTGTTCCGTTGGTACAAGTTCTGCACCTTGCAAGCGCGCAAATCTTCAATTAAAATGAGGGGGGAAAGGGGAAATATGAAAAGACCAAAATACATTCCTATGCAGAAATTTTATCCAGTATATCATTTCAGTCCGAAACAAGTGCCCAGATATGGTCCCCCTGCAAATTATGAAATCAAATACAAGCCAGCTACACGAGAGTTCTATGATGAATATCTTCAGTCCCCACTTCAGAGCACAATCTGAAACAGCATTCTTCAGCTTCTCTCTTTTCGCGCGCGAACCGTATTTTCCTTGTGGATTTGGTGGCAACTTTTGTCAACAAGATCGAGCAGCTTTCCAGATTTGTTGCCCACGAGTTCAAGATGTCATTGCTGTCCTTTGTCGTCTGGAAACAGACAACTCCCATCGACCGGTCTATCTTTGCCACTAGGGATTTGGAAAACCCATTTCGGGAAGATGCTTCTCAGCTTCCTAAATGTAAATATAGAACTAACGGGTCATGCTGATAGAATATCATACAAGCTTGTGTAATTATATTGCACAGTCTCTTTATCAGATGATAGGTGTTGATTAACAAACTGAGGAATTTGAATAATTAAAGCACTCTAAAACAGCAGTAACAGAACCCCATAATGAGAGCTCTTTTCCTTGAGTGATTAAGCTCCATAGATTTCTGAACACATTAAGAAAGCTCTAATAGCGAGATATACTTTTGCAACACAGGAAATGGTGAGTGTTAATACTGGCAAAGAAAGCTTGCAAAGTTACTTTAGCAAAATATAGCAGAGCTCCTCCCACCCTTCTAGAGCGCGTTAGAATTTCAAGCTCCATGGGACAAGAAATGGTTTCACAATGCCAGACAATGACACTTACAGCTACAACAAATTTATGAGCAGAAGTTGGCTAAGCCAAGTGTCCACATATATGTCAGTCAGAAATGTTCACGAAACAAAACTATGAAGAAAACATTCTCAAATCCATGACAAGCCTTTGGCTATTCAAGGCACCAAAACCTCTTTTACACATATTTTGGAACTTATATCCAAGTCCAGCAACCATGCCCCAATCAGGGATCACGGGCAGAGAGGCTGCTCAGGGTTAAATGAGGGGTCTAGGCAATCATTCAAGAAGAGTGACATTGATAAAGAACATAAACAAATGCTCCACATAATCAGACCTGGATACTGACACATAACAGCTCTGCAAGTCTCTCTAAGGTAATCCTCGAGTAATACTTTGAAACGACAATAATATTCTGCAGAAAATGGACTGAGTCACATCTTAATGATGATCCAATGAAAAGAAGAAAAACGGCAAAGTTCTGTAATTACACGTTCAATGATTCTCTGTCTAAGATTTTCTGCTGCCTTCTCAACAAGTGCACCTCCGAGCATGTTATCTCATTCTCAAATTCATCTTTGAAAGTGCTTTAAAGAGGAGTCCGTTGGATAACCTCCACCATGACCAATTGTTTCAGCAGCAACCTGCATTAAACTATCAGAGGCATGGTTGACCAAATTCTATGGCACATTATCGAGATATTGCAAAATGTACAACCAATTACCTAGAACAATTCAAAGATGGTACCTGAATTGGGGAATTTCTGAGAGTTGTTTATCCTCTAAAGTGGCATTAAGAAGGCTTGACTGCATAGGATCATGTGGTGATAGAACCAAGTACCAGCAGATTTTCCTTAGAACCTGCATTTAATTAAATCACAGAATCAACAGCTGTGCTTTGAAAAACTCAGTGAAGACTTAACAAGGAAAGAGCTTCACCTGTATCTACTGCTCCGTGTTGCCATTCACTGATGGAATCTCATATATCACCTTCTAGTATCGACAAATCTCAAGGTAATCATTGTTATGTGAGTAATACCTACATCGTTAACCACATAAATGCGCGGTATACTGAGATGTGAGTTCAAATCCATCAAGTACATCTGGAATGTCAAGAGTTTGTGATAAAGCTAGAAAGGAAGAAGAGTTTGTGCCAGATATATAAAGCCATACAAGTTCGTGGTTTGAACCACAACCTGAACACCAGGTGGCACTTGATCGGCAAGAACAAACTAGCTAAAAAGACAGTGGACACAACATTAGAAAAAGCACAACACCAATTTACCGTGTCGCGAGTCATACTACATCCATTTCAACTCCAGAAGTGACGGAATATCAGCTGGCACTTCTTCCACAGTATCTTCACCTTCATTAGGCTTTTTTCTTCTCTATGGAAGGATCTGCATCAAAAACTCGGGGGATGATCTTCCTGGAAAGGATATGTGCACGGACATGATCTTGGCGATCTAAGCACGAACGAACCTGCGAAATCCATTAATCCAGCAATCAGAAAACCAATCATAGTAATAGTGCATAAACGGCTAAAGGCAATACAAAAAACCCGTACTTGTTCGAGGATAAAAGGCGATTTTCTCCGCCTTTGCCCTTCACTCCAAAATTTTCTACCAGCTAAGTGGGTTATGGTGGAAACTCAGTTTGTTACTACTGAGGCGATGAAGACTCGCCGACATCAATCAATTTGCACTTCATAAGTAAGTGTAGATTCAAGTACCCTGCCAGAAAGGATATCATCAGGCTAATCTATTTGCTTTTTGACAAATTTTACTTTGTATACATACATTAACACAGGCGCCCCCATTAAACTTCCACGGGGAATATCAACCCCAACCTTCCATCATTCAAGGAAGAAGAAGAGGAAGAAGAAGAAGAACTAACCAGGCGAATCAGCACGACAATTGCTAAAGGACGATCCAATCAGAAGAACCAACCCATCTCGATCCGCACGCAGAAATCGGAAGGGCGGGCTCGAGGAAATCGGCAAAAAGGTCTGCGAGCGCAATCGCTGTGGAGAGCGCCTAAGGGGAAGGAAAAGAAGGGGAGAGGAAGAGAACTGGGCGAACCCCTCGCTCGCGAGGAACTCTCCGCTCCTGTCCTCTCTCCTCTCTGACCGCGCACTGACGGAAGAGCCAATCGGAGGAGATCCGAAGCACCTTCAAGTGAAACTCCCCGCTGGCCCGACCTCACCTCCCCAGCTCAGCGGATCCCCCGCCGCCGCCACCGCCGCCGCCGCCGCATCTCCGCCGCCACCCGGAAGTGACGATGCTTCGGTCTCTCTCGGGCGTTAGCAACTGCTGGTGATGACTAATAACGAGCAGAAAGAGTAAAAAAGCCGCGCGGTGACGGGATAAAACGGCGCGAATCTCGTTAAGCCTCGACAGAACCCGACGAATCCCCGGAGGGATCGTGAGCGCCATCCATAAATCCGGCAGCCTGATCTCTCTCTCTATCTCTCTCTCTCTCTCTCTCTCTCTCTCCCTCCTTTGCCTGACGTGTTCTTGTGCTCCCGCCTCCAGAAGTTCCTGAATCATCCACAGAAGAGAGAATTGCGGTTGATTAGATATCGCGGAACAATTGAAAAAAAGGAAGAAGGAAGAAAATCGAAAGAAACCAATTCAAGCAATCGAGGAAAAGCGAGCGAATTCGCGCAATTCCCAGAGTGCAGGATTTCGATCGTCCCACCTCTAAGAAAACCGAGATGGCTACGGGACGAAGGCGAAGGGATGTTTCTTGAAGAGCTGCTTGTTCTCTCGAACGTCTTGTGATTTCCACAGCGTAGATATGGACCCGGATGCCCGGCATTAGAAGAAGCGAACAGAAGATAGACAAAAAGTTCAACTCAGCCGTGTGAACAAAACAAACACGTTATGAGATGGCTCGCGAGCGAGCACAGAGCATCCTTCAAATGCGGAACTTGCGAAAAGATAAATAATTTAAAAGTCTGGTGCTCGTATCGTGTCGAGGATGAAATGACAAATGACAAGTTATTTCCCCAAACGGAACTCTTTTGAACACACAATAGCCTTCAGATGCTTTGATCCGGAAAGATCCGGCGATCGCCCAATATCCGGCATCCTGAGTCCTTCAATTTTGTGATCGAGTCGGGAATCTTCCTCAACGAGCGGCATCCCGTTAATGACAAGTGCCGCAGAGACACGAGGGAACCTATGGAGCTGGGTATGCAGGCTAACGATACACAATAAGAGGCAATAAGAGTCTCGAGCATTCTCAGAGAACCAATGGATTCAGGTAATTCTTCAATCCCTGTTAAAAATAGGTCCAATTCAGTCAATGATGTCAACTTTCCGATTGAGTCGGGAATCTCTCTCAACGAGTAGCAACTCGATAATGACAAGCACCGCAGAGACACGAGGGAACCTATGGAGCCGGGTATGCAGGCTAACGATACACAAGAAGAGGCATCAAGAGTCTCGAGCATTCTCAGAGAACCAATGGATTCGGGTAATTTTTCAATCCCTGTTCCAGATAGGTCCAGTTCAGTCAATGATGCTAACTTTCCAATCGAGTCGGGAATATCTCTCAACGAGGGGCATCTTTGTAATGACAAGTACTGCAGAGACACGAGGGAGCCTATGGAGCTGGTTATGCGGGCTAAGGATTCACAACAAGAGGCATCAAGAGTCTCAAGCATTCTTAAAGAACCAATGGATTCGGGTAATTCTTCAATCCCTGTGTTAGATAGGTCTAGTTTAGTCAATGATGTCAACATTCCGATCGAGTCGGGAATCTCTCTCAAACAGGGGCATCCCTTTAATAACAAGTGCCGCAGAGACATGAGGGAGCCTATGGAGCTGGGTATACGGGCTAAAGATTCACAATAAGAGGCATCGAGAGTCTCGAGCTTTCTCAGAGAACCAATGGATTCGGGTAATTCTTCAATCCTTGTGTTAGATAGGTCTAGTTTAGTCAATGATGTCAACATTCCGATCGAGTCGGGAATCTCTCTCAAACAGGGGCATCCGTTTAATAACAAGTTCCGCAGAGACATAAGGGAGACTATGGAGCTGGGTATACGGGCTAAAGATTTACAATAAGAGGCATCGAGAGTCTCGAGCTTTCTCAGAGAACCAATGGATTCAGATAATTCTTCAATCCCTGTTTCAAATAGGTACAATTCAGTCAATGATGCCAACTTTCCGATCGAGTCGGGAATCTCCCTCAACGAGTAGCATTCCTGTAATGACAAGCACCATAGAGACACGAGGGAGCCTATGGAGCCGGGTATGCGGGTTAACGATTTACAACAAGAGGCATCAAAAGTCTTGAGCTTTCTCAGAGAACCAATGGATTCAGGTAATTCTTCAATCCCTGTTCCAGATAGGTTCAGTTCAGTCAATGATGCCCACTTTTCGATCGAGTCCATAGATTTTGAAAGTTGAGTAAGATCTTCACAGGAGGCATTCTCCAATTTCATCAAACAATCTCTCGGAATAGGAATGTCTTGTATAGCAGTATCATTTAAGAAGATCTCCCTCAATTCTTCCATCCTACCTACTCGTTCCGATAGCTTCTTCAGTTTTTTACACCAACTAACATCCAATGAGACGAGGGTCTTGATATCCTCGATAGAAGGATGAATCTCTTCTAGATTGTCACATCCATGAAGGATCAAAATCTCCAAGCTTTTGAAATCGGATAAGTCGGGAGTTTTTCTCAAAGATTGACAATATGAGAGCTTAAGAACTTTGAGCTTAGTTGACATCTGAAAAGAAAGAAAAAGTAACTCAGTGATATTGGACCTCTACACCGTGTGAATTTCCACTACTCCTCATTTTCTTTAGACTTTTTAAAATTTCCTCAAATTACTCATGCTTCACTGCTCCTTCACAATTGTCTTATTTAATTTTATATATTTCTTGTGGTAGTGTTTGGCTACACCAACATATAAACATTTTTTATACGTATCCATTGCAAAAACAATGTTAAGGATATACAAGTGCTGACTGCATTTATTTTTGGATAACATTTCAAAGAAAATATATGTTTATTGATTATACATGAGCAAAATTTATAATCAAAGAAGCAGATGACGAATTCAAATGGAAGAGACATAAATTCATTGGGCGCCATGTTTTCCTTCAATAGTATGAAAATAAGAGAAACGGCTAGTTTAATTATGAAAAAAAATTACATTTTGTATGTACAAAATATAAAAAAATGTTATATCAAAAAATATGAAAAGCCATTGGAATGATAATTTTATCACTCTTTCAACATTACTAAGTTATAATTGTGTTATACAGTGACTTCAATAATCAACAAATATAATGAACAAAATTTTATGTGCAACAAGTCAGAGCAATTCATAAATTATTCCATAACTCTATGATAAAAATGAATTTATAATTTCAGTATGTATATGCAACAGAAGTCACTGTCATGGAGTTTTTGTTTCTCCATGAAAGAAGATCGATATAGACATATAGCAAGAATCTCTAAAAGGACCTACTTTGCATGGGGAGAAATTAACTTAGAAGCCTTAAACCGTTTAGATTAAAAAAAATCAAGATAGGCACATTGTTGTAATTACAATTTTAATAGATGTTAATTAATATAGTTAATTTTTTTTTCTAGTATATCTAATGCTAAGCATGACAGGTTGTAAAGATATTATCAATTTAAGATATTAAGGGGCAGAAGCTTATATTTAGGTGCCTATAAATTCCTCTTATATTAAGAAAATCCTTAATCTGAGGAAGGATATTAAATCTTTCAGAAAGAAATTAAGGAAGGAGAACTTGGGCTCATTGCACCCGTGTACAATAAGTGATAATGCAGGAGATGTGCCTTTTCTACATCTTACCTTGAGTGGATCCCATCCTCTCCAGTTCTCTGAAATTTGAGTCCACGACATATCAAGCACGACTAATTTCTTCATATGAAAGTTGGCCACTTCTAAGTCCAAGTGACAATCATGGCACTTAAGCCATCTTAATTGAGGAAGCACGATCTGGAAATCTGCGGTGAACTTCGCATTGGTCATTTTAAGGAACCTCAATTTGGTCAGTTCTTTAAATTGTTCCGCTGTGTAACTTCCTCCCTTGTCAAGATGAATGACCTCAATCTTACTAGTGCCCTGCAATAAGGAAATAGTGTGGACCATCAGTTTTGAATGATGAGATGAGACCAACTGTATATACAAAAATATGAACTCATTTCAATTTGTTCATACTATTACGGTGTAGGCTTGTCACTTTCAATTTCGTGAGATGACAAGTTACAAGTGCATATCATTTATCTAATTAATGTAAAAATCCGAAGCTCAAGAGGGTGCTTTCAAACTTTTCCTCTTCTAATTATGCCCTTGACAATTTGCACTAATTGAACTCCCGAAGCTTCGACCAAAAAAAAAAAATCCCAAAGCCACGTCCTTTTCACAATTACAATAGATGGCCATAGATGGCCTCTCTTTTGCACACGCTAATTCGAATATATTTATCGAAATTCATGCCCTTCATAAGGGAAACAACACAACCCATACTCATATCATTTATATGTAAAACAACGCGACTCTTACAATCCAAATACATATATCAAACTTGCCACGAGAACATGTATAAAAATTAAAGAATCCCAATTGTACAATACAAACCCACCCCACTCCCCCTTTTTTTATTGGTGTATGTTGTTTGCAATACTCAATAGCAAAATGAAAATGAGAATGTCATGGCAAAAAGTGCATAAGTGTTCAACATTTCTTTCTTACTTCATTATATTTTGCATCTCAATGTTTATATTTAGTCTCTTTTAATTAAAGATACTCATCACATTTGCACATGCTTGTACAAATCATCCATGTGTTATGATTGCTTTTAGTTGCGTACCTGCTAATAATGGATATTAATCATCACACAACATTCAAAATCATATTATTTAGACGACAACAAAAATTAAACTTAAAAGTATCGGAATAAGCCATTGCTTTGAATTCACCCACTTTTTTTGATACTACGCATATTAATCTAATCAATAAAATTTAATTTCCCGCTTTTTCGCCAATAAATATGCCCTCTTAAAATTTACGTGACAATGGACAACCTTCACATTTAGATCTAATGATAAAAAAGTTTATTTTGACTTACATCTAACTATTACAAAGTGATAAGACCTATCTCTGATTGTAAAAACAATTTATTTTGAATTAAATCTAACTATTACAAAACGAATGCATCGAGTATTTAGGAATAGTTTAAGTACCACATTAAACGAATTAAAAGTCCGACGATGATATTGCACGTTGGGCAAAAGTTTAGAAACTATTGATGTTATTTTATTAACTAAATCTTTGCTAAATAAGATGCTCACTAAAAGTTGAACAATGCTGAAATCATTATTATACAATGATAGCTATATTCAGCAAATAAATGTTATCAAGGGATTAATAGGAATATCCATTGTCACAGAAAAATAAAAAGAGTGAGCAAATTCATAGAAAAAAAATTATCCACTATTATGAAATGTCTATAGAACGAAAATATTATTTATTTAGAGAGTTATAGTACACGATTGGGCATATGTCATGAATAATTATAAAAGCCACATTAGCAAATCGACGGTATTAACTAACAGTTGACGACAAAGAACTCAATTGCACAAATTTGAAAGATAAAAGACTATATTGAGCGAAAAAATAGATAGGGGACTAAATCGTACAAACATTTATACTTGGGAGACTAAATTTGTGCTTAATCCAATTTGAAAAATACAGGAATCAAGATAGCTAATCGTAACAAATGAATGGAGGTCCCATTTATCATAGCAAACGACTCATAAGAAGTCAATGCCTTAGTAAAAGAAAAACAAGGAATCAAAAGAAGAATCCAAAGGTCAAATATGTGCATCAGACACCCGTGTGGGAAAAAAAATGGCTACCAACAATTCACAGATGCTAGGTTTTCCCTGAAAATGCTTTATCAAACATTATATTTCTATAGTTTTGTTGTTGCGTTGAAGTTACCAAAGGAGAGTGTCCTCATCAGTCATCACAATACTACGAGGTAAAGCTATACACATATGCATTTATATAACGAAGAAGATGCTCCTAAATTATGTCCTAGAATCATGCAAGAAGAACAATTAACCAAAAGAGCTCTTTTGCTTGTAGAAGCCGCAAGTTTTGGGGACTCGAGATTGACAATAATTTTTATCTCAAATAAGAGAAAGAAGATGGACTCACATTCACTTACTAAAATAAGTATAAAAAATTCTTACCTTGTTGCTTGCAAGCACATCTATAGCTTCCTCATTAATCCATAATCTGCTACGCTCTTGAGGCTCCTTCGGATTTTCTAGACGTACAATTTCCCTTCCAAGATCTCTCAATTGATCATGCATCCTTAGATAGCCGTACTTGTCAATTTTAATTAAGGACATAAGACTCAATACTGCAATCCCCTTCCCCGGGAAAAAATTGCAGCTTTCCCACATATAATTCGGATATTGTTTAGATGATCCAATAAAAAAACATGCAATATCCAAAAATATCTGTTTGTCCTCATAATCTAATGCGTCGTAACTTATTCTTAACGTCTCTTGCACTTTCTTATGAGGCACTTTTTTCAATTTCTGTGATGTATCTTTCCATACTCCTTGTGTCTTTCCACATAAGAAACAACCTATTACTTCAAGAGCTAAAGGAAGCCCGTCGGTAGTAGATACGACATCACGACAGATAACTTCATAATCACTTGGAGGAGAATCCTGTCGAAATGCATGTCTACTGAATAAAATCAATGATTGATCCACAGACAACTCATTGAGTTTGTACATGTGGTCTGCACTAACTTGGCCAAGAACATCCTTGTCTCTAGTTGTTATGATGACTATACTTCCTGCTTTAAACCAACCACGGTCGACCAAATATTTCAAGCGAGCAGCATCATCTATATCATCAAGAAAAATGAGTGCTTTCTTATGTGCAAATCTAGATTTGATAAGACGGATTCCCTCGTCCACATTAGACACATCACATGAACTTCCATGGCCATATATGAGTTGCTTTTGTAGGCATTTAATACCCTCGCGCTGATATGTTTCCCGACAATCTGCCACAAATCTACAATTCTCAAAATGATCGAAGAGTTTGTTGAATAATGCCTTTGCAAGAGTCGTCTTACCGATACCGCCCATTCCATGAATTCCGATAATCCATGTACCCTTGAATTTAGCATCTTTGAAGCTCATAATGTTTTTGATATGATCATCAATTCCAACCAACTGTTGGGGAACAATTAACTGAAAAGTTCTTTTTAACTGGCTCATAACTGATGTGACAACAATTTTGACCAATGCTCCTTCATGCCTGTCAAATAATAATGAATTTCAGCATAGGAGGGGATATAAATATTCGTTTTCAAAAAAGATCTATTTGTGAGAAATTAAACAACAATTTAGTGGAGAAAAATTGTACCCGTTATCAATTTTCTCCGATTCCCATCCTTTCAAAGAACTGACTTCTTTGAGCGCTTCTTCCCATTCCTTCACTTCTTTGAGCGCTTTTTTCCATTCCTTCAAAACCATTTCGTCCCTATTCTCTTTATGTGCCTTGATAGCATCTTCGAATCTCCCTGTAAGATGGCGCACTTGTGAGGGTTTCACTTTGTAAAATATGGGCAGCACTATTTGCCCTTTGGTTCTCTTGCACTTCAACATTAGAGCCAGCTCACGAAGGCACCATTTGCTGAAAGCATAGTTCTTAGAGATAATTGGGATCAAGATCGTGGACTGCTTAATGCTGCAAATAAGCTCTGGACCAATTTCCTCACCAACACGGAGCTCATTGTCGTCTCTGAACACGCGAATTCCTGCATGGTGAAGGTTATGATAGAGATGATCGGTGAAGCCTTTGCGAGTATCTTCCCCTCTGAAGCTCAAGAACACTTCGTAATCATTTCCCTTCGGCTTTTTGGTTTTGCCTTCATAATCACCTACACATGGAGAGGTCGATGAGGAAGAGGGCCCGTGGATTGGATATTCTGAATAAGTGGGTTCTTTCCTTTTCATCTCGAGACGATTGTAAAAGAGATTGATGGAGCAGGAAACAGAGGAGAGAAATATGGAAATCCCAGATCTGGGAATAGTAGAAATGTCTCGCGGGACTCAAACTCGGAGCTACAATTAAACAAAAATAGATACTCTCAGACAACTCATCGGAATATAATGGAGCAATCAAAGCAGGACACACAGAAGGGCAAGGAGTTGTCTATTACCTGAGGAGTGTTCAAACAAAACAACCCACCCACTGCTGTGATCTCCCCCAATCCTCAGCCTTCAACGTTGGATTACCGACACACAACACTCTACTGTGCGTGCTTAAACAATGCTGATTGCTGAGTGCTTAAAGGCTGCTGAGTTATTGTACGAGTAATATTCGCAGCATTATGCGGAAGTTGCGGGGAAGCTATGCAAGCGGTTCTTGACTTTGCTTGCTTTTCCTTTTAACAAAAAAGTAGAAAAGAAAACCAACTTGCAATAAAGATGCTCCTAGTCCTTGCTTTTTCTACAAACCAAAAAACAAGAAAAGTCCTTGCTTTTTCAACTGTGCGCGCTTGAACGATGCCGACTGCTTGTAATATGCTGAGTTATTGCACTCGTAATTTCGTCAGCATTAAGCGGAACGTGCCACTGCGTGCAACCTACGCTGGTGCTTTGATTGAAATTTGAGATCCAGTACGACTTGACTTGCTTTTCCATTAGTAAATAGAATCTTCGGGGAATTGTAATGGGAAGGTGAAGCGAGCATGACACCAGGATAACATTGCTGCATGCTAAAATGGAAGGGGAATGTAACGTGAAGCACAAGCTGGGCAAGGAGTTTGGGGAATTGGTGTGACTGAGCAGGGAATCTCTGGAATTTAGTAGTGAATTTCGGTAGGGGTTGTGGAGGATCAACATGAACATTTCCAAAGCTAACTTAAAGACTTGGACAAATGCATTTTGAGCATCTGTTCTCGCCTGCACCTACAATTGAAACCCGTTCCACTGCTATGAAAAATTTGTTTTGACATAATTTATGCTAGACTGTTTGTAGCTCTCACTCGTAGCGGGCCAACCTTTTATCTATTCACTTTGATAAATGTCGGGCTAAACTTTATTCATTTGTTGATCGATCCATTCTAGGAAATTGTTCGCAACTTGTCCCACATCAATAAGTAAACTTTTGATATTTTCAAAAGAGGGTTTTTACATAAAGAAATCGCAACTATATCTAGATAACTGTTTACACGAATAAATAGAATACCACTTTATTTATGGAATGGAAATGCTTGCTAAAAGTAAAAATCAAATATGGGTCATTGCCTAAACATCGGTTGTTAAATTGCATGTATGTCGTTGTGTAAACCTTGCTAGTGAAATTACTTTCTTCCGTTGCCTATTTAAATGACGAAATAAATGTTAGGTTTAATTTGGATGACAGCAAATCTATTCAGGTGCTACATTATTTCACATGTTACACATCCAGCTGGTTTCAGCTTCAACTTCATGACCTTTTCCACAAAAATCACTTGGCAAATCGCACCACAAAGGGTCATGAAGTGACCATGAATTTGCTCCCATAAAATGCAAGAAACTTCCCACGGGTTTTCCATTGTACTTCCTTGAAACCCTTGTCACGTCATCCACCAATAGGTGCTGTGCTCACCTTATTCTGTCATATGGATGTGGGGATCTGAATGTGACTATGATTTTCTGACGTTCAAGTGAATATAAAAGTTGTGGGCTCAGACCGGCAAAAGATAATCCACGACAAAACAGAAAATTCCAAGCCCGAAATGCCAAGCACTTTAATTATGTACTAATTGGAAACTTGAAGCTCACATGGCCATCGGTACCCCTCTCCCTTATTATTCCTTTCAGTCTCAAAAGCGAGCAATGTGTTGTAGGATCCCTTTCTTTCTTAAACAGGTCAATTAGTTGATCTATAATCTACTTCGTGCCTTCAGATCCTCCTCCTCTTAAAAAAAATAGATAGCACAAGCTAGAGGAGGAGGGAAACAAATAGTATCTGGATGACTGAGTTGCTAGGTCACGCGACACCTCAGCCTTCAAGGATCAACTTCACATGTTCTTCTCCATGACATGTTTTGCCACATAAACGGACACATCGATTGTTCATTGGAGCATCTTGTGGTAATGGCCGATGCGCATCAATTGGATGTCAAGTGAAGTTCCATGCAAAAAAGATCTCGTTAGCAAGCAAGCACCGTCGTGATAAAGGAAAACTGCTTTGCTTGGATACATAAAGAAAAGGAAGAGAGAAGGATTTTGAATTTCCCTTGCGTGTCTTCTCGCAAAAGTTACAAAAATTTACTTCATTTTCCTCGTCTTCCCCTCCTTCCCAAATAAAGCACTAAGCCAGTACCTCGGAAAATCGAAGCATAAATATGGAAGGATGAAATATAGAACGGCCTTGCTTTCTTCTCATAAGACTGTTTAGCCAAATAATGCCCCAAGTTGATTAAATTCTTAATATATGTTAACTAACTCGAATGACAATATTATTCCTCGTACCTGCAAGAAATTGTATAAATATAGATTGGCAATATGAACAGAAAAATTGCCCTTATTGAATATCAATTCGGGTTGGTTTGTGCAAAATGGCAAAAGTCTTACATACGAGTCCTTCTTGAAGGGGCAAATTCAATAGGAGCAAGCAGGCAACATCAAGTTATAAAATTTGGCTTTATTTTGACCAAGAGAAGAAATTACAACTGTCTTTATTCATTTAATTAAAGGCGGCGCTTTTTCCACTCCTATTGATTAGTCACTTCTTTTTTTTTTATTTGACCATCTTATCCCTTTTGAAGCCCACCAATTCTGGTACAATTTTTATATGATCCTATTTTTTTATTTGGTCAACTCTTTTTATATTATTTATTCTTTTTCTCTATATGGGTCCCACTTTCCTTCTTATTCTTTCCTTTCACGCCTCCCACTCGTCTCTTTCTTGTAGGTCATTCACTTCTTTTTACGCCTCCCATTCATCCTCCTCCTCCTTCTTCCACAAACCTCGTCGTCCCGATGTCCTCTATTTATTATCTATGATGCCAACTACATTGGTTTCCATACTTTCACTGACACTGGTATTGGCCTCACCGGTGACCTTCCCTATGAACCCCTTTTCTCTGCACTCAGACTCTTCTTGCACCATGAAGATTGAGAAGCATTGCTTCTCTCTCTTCCCTTTTTATATATATATTTTTTCTCCTCTTCTTGCACATGTGAGAGTGTAGAGAAAGAAAAAGTGTCTCCACCATGTGTAGGCATAAAAGTCGGGGGCAATAGGCGATAGGCTTAAGCTTTGAATTTTAGGTTAAATTGCATAAAAGTAAAGCAATCTACTCATAGACATTGAGACAAAACCTCCAACATGGAAATCAAAACCACCTAGAATAAAGAGAAAGAACGGACCAAAAGAACAACATAAAGCTGATTGTAGTAACTCTGCCACATGTGACGAAAAATAAAATACAAGCATCTACCCAATTAATTCACAAACACTGTTTGATGCACGCTACACTCCACACTCTAAACGCAGGAGTGAAACACAAGATCAAGCATTTCCACGATCCAAAATTCAAATTCTCTTTGAAGAAAAAATATCAAGAAATACTCAATAGCGACCGAAATGAGCATGATTTCGAGACCAAAAAAACTAAAAAGGAAAAAAAAAAGCTTTCACCAAAACCATACGTCCGATAGCGAATGAGGAGGGCATGGATTGTTGAAGTAAGCAGTTCTTTTTGGATTGCAGATACAGTGGAGATTTGTGGAAGAAGAAGAACAAGAACGAGCGGGAGGCATAGAAAAAAGAGAATGGCCTACAAGAGAGAACACAGAGACAATTGAGAGGCATGGAAAGAAAGAAAAAAAAAGGAAAGTGAGACCATAAGGAATAAAAAGAATTCACCAAATAATAAAAAAAGCACCATATAAAATTGTACCAAAAGTGATAGGTCCCACAAGAGTTAGAATGGTTAAAACAACAAAAAAGTGAGTGTTTAAGCCATATAGGGAGTCGAATAAGTGTGGCACATTAAACATAATCAAATGGGGAATGCAGCATTTTGTCATGGACTTATGACACACTACATACAGGAAACCAAACTTGCCTCAATCATGAAATCCTTGTTGTCGTGCTCTAAGATATAGGACTCCCATGAAATAATTGTCATGTCATACTCAAAGCCTGGATTTGAGAATATTTCCTGAACTTTCCACTTTGTTTTCAAATGCCCAATCAGATGCAAAAGTTACTATTTACAAGGATTTTCCATTGAACTAAATCCCAACTTTCATTATATCATCACTATAATCCCCATGATAGCACAAAAATGCAACTTAACTCTAAGTTTTGTAACATAAAATCTAAAGTGAGGGAAGTCCCAATGTGACATTCTGAAATCCGACCCACTTGGGATTTATGAAATGAATAGTTTATGGACATGCTTGTAGTTAGATCTCGCCCGGAATTGATCACTTCGGGAATACTAACCGTTAGGAAAATGCTAATTAGGGATTTAAATTCGCGCGACCAAAGAACTCGATCGTGAAACGACTTTCGACCATGAGAATTGTCGAGGTGACATTTTGAGCCAGTGTAGGCTGATCCAAGGATAGTCAGAGATCAATTCGCCGATGTCACATTAGTGGATCGCGGGTGATTTTGTTTGACCACGAAATGAATTAACGAATGATCCTAAACCTATACCAAACAATCGTGCCCGTTGGAACTAGCGATCGATCCTCGCGAATAAGTGACAACCGAGGTCGTCATGACCCGAGTGAACTTGAACGTGGCTTGATTTAGTATCGGACACGGGTCAAAAACGCGAATTTCCCCAAAAGCCGCCCGTTAGTTTGAGATTTGCTCAAGTTGCGTTATTTGGAACTTAGTCATTAAATTAGAGACCGAGTTGAGCATTGGAAATTTGGAAAGTCACTACAGATCATTATGACGATATTGTCATTTGCTTGGGTAGCCTCGGATTTGTCCGAATCCTTCAAAAAAATCAAATTTCGGTGAGAAATGGAAAATGACCATTTTACCCCTGGAAGTTTGTTAAGACCAATGCAATTGGGGAAGGGCATTTTGGTCATTTTACCCTAGCTTTACTGTCACGCCCCGAACCACGCGACATCCCTTTTCAGTCAAAATAGTGCGACATCCCAGGAAACGTCGCCGACCCCACGATTACATTAGAGTTCGATCGCGGCGGAAACCAATGAAATAAACCCGGACAATAAAATTGGAGAACACCAGGAAGAAATAAATCGCCAAACCACCAATCATAACTATACCTCGATTTAAGCATATACAATATCCATTTACAAACGAACTTATACCATACCGCCATTTACAAAACCATAAAACATACAGGCACACCAA